ATTGGTGAACCAGGAACCAGCTCTCTTTGCCACCACCATACTGGAGAATATTCTCTACGGTAAGCCAGATGCAACAATGGATGAAGTCGAGGCTGCTGCTTCCGCTGCAAATGCTCATAGCTTCATCACCCTGCTTCCCAATGGATATAATACGCAGGTTGGTCTATATGAGTGATTATCTTGGACTTCCAACTTGAATTTTTTGCTCATGAACAAGTTGCTAAATGTGGTAATATGATAAGGTGGGAGAGCGAGGAGTCCAGCTTTCTGGTGGTCAGAAACAGAGGATAGCAATAGCAAGAGCCATGCTGAAGAACCCAAAAATTCTTCTCCTCGATGAAGCAACAAGTGCACTAGATGCTGGATCTGAGAGCATTGTTCAAGAAGCATTGGACCGTCTCATGGTAGGAAGGACAACGGTCGTAGTTGCTCATCGACTGTCCACCATCAGAAACGTCGATACCATTGCAGTCATTCAACAAGGGCTAGTTGTAGAAACAGGAACCCACGAAGAACTGATTGCTAAAGCAGGTGCCTACGCCACTTTGATCAGATTCCAAGAAATGGTGAGAAACAGAGATTTTGCTAACCCATCAACACGAAGAACACGCTCAACACGCCTCAGCCACTCGCTCTCAACCAAGTCTCTAAGCCTCCGATCCGGAAGCCTTCGCAACTTGAGCTATTCCTACAGTACCGGAGCAGATGGCCGCATCGAGATGGTCTCCAATGCTGAAACAGATCGGAAAAATCCTGCACCTAAAGGATACTTCTTTAGGTTGCTCAATCTGAATGCACCCGAGTGGCCTTACTCAGTAATGGGAGCTGTGGGGTCTGTGCTTTCAGGTTTCATTGGGCCAACATTCGCCATAGTCATGAGCAACATGATTGAGGTGTTCTACTACACTAATCCTCAATCAATGGAGAGGAAGACCAAGGAATATGTGTTCATCTACATTGGTGCTGGACTCTACGCCGTGGTCGCTTACTTGATTCAGCACTACTTCTTCAGCATAATGGGAGAGAACTTGACTACCAGAGTTAGGAGAATGATGCTTGCTGGTAAAGAAAACTAGATATTCTTGTTTTTCTTATTATTTTAAAGCATGTTCACATATATCTGTTCTACCAATAGGCGTTGGTTCATTGTGCTTTTCACATGTTTAATTCAGCAATTCTGAGGAATGAAGTCGGATGGTTCGACGAGGAAGAACACAACTCGAGCCTGGTTGCAGCGAAACTAGCAACAGATGCAGCAGATGTGAAGTCTGCAATAGCTGAGAGGATATCCGTGATACTCCAGAACATGACCTCTCTTCTCACATCCTTCATAGTTGCTTTCATTATTGAATGGAGAGTCTCACTTCTCATTCTCGGAACCTTCCCTCTCCTGGTCCTCGCCAACTTCGCCCAGGTATGCTGCTCTGTCAGTTACAAACATTAAAATCACTGTTTCATTTGCTATTCGTTTTACCTGGTTTTGGTGATTCTGTTAGGTTGGGTTGGTTTGTACTTGGTCCAGATATGATGTGACACTACCCCATACATAAATTGAAAGCACTGAAATTTTTAGTGTGAACATAACTAAGGAGCAAAATAGTGAAGAAATAGCCCAAACTCCGAAGCATATATTTAATGTTTTTTGCCATAACATTGTCAGGTCTTTGGCTCTTTGCATATTTTTTCTTTTCCCTTCTGGGCTATGGAATCCCAACCTTACTATCCTCTACCTATTAAACGACGAAAGCTAGCTGGGTCCTTCGCCTAGCACGTGCCTCTCCCTACTCTTGTTTACCTTTTAATCCCGAAAGATCAGAACACCTTAAAGGACTCTAGCGGAAGATGTTTTCTACCAAAGCCATTTGCTTAATAGTTAATACTTTACAGCTGCATTGAATGTGTGATTATCATCGAGCTCATCAATGAACTAGTTAAACATTAGAATAGTCGAGGATTCCATTGCCTGCCCCCATCCAAATTTCCCATGCCAACTTAGTTTCTGGCCTCCATCATCTCGAGGCTGCTATGGCATCTTTTCACTTTATTATAAGACTGTTTACCCTTTTCCCCCATACGCCAGGATTTCTCCTCTCGGTCCAAAAAATATAAACATGTCTTGATTCTCTCATTGGACCTTCTTTTCACCCCTCCATTTCCTCAACTTTCCTTCATTTATTAAGCAACCACCGACGCTGTACAAGTCACATGAACTCTGTTTTTCCTTTTCGTTTTGCTTTTAGCTCTCTGGCTTTAGTATTTGCAACAAACTGCGGTATTTTTTAAATACTCTGCTTCTGGGGTCGGGTTAAATACTCTGCTCTGCTACTACTGAGAATAGGACAGACTACCAAGCGAGTATTCCAACGGATGCTTTGGCTAAACTAGCTTCTACTACTGTTACTCCCGTGAATCACATTATTGTCTTTCTGCTATACCTTCTTCATTATACTAGTATTTTAAATTCTCAATTTTTTTTTCCTACGGAGGGGTGTCAGGAGTTGGGTGGTGGTGGGTTGGTAATAACAGTCTAACAGTGCTCATAAGCAGTGTGACCACCATTTCTTCCCTTCTGCGCAGTGCTGTCGTTTTGGGTTGTGGGGTTGTGTCGTCTGGAGGTTTCAGACTCTGGTGGTTGGTTTTGGAAAAAAGGGTGAATGCAGTGAGAAGTCTGGCTGGTAGTGACAGTTCTTTGTCTTTTGCATGAAAATCGTTTTACCCTGTGGCTTTCCCTAAACACTGTTCACCCAAATTGAGTGGGTCTCTGGAGCACATTCAAGGAGGAACAGTAGCCTTCCCTTTCAAGTTGGGCCTTAAAAAAACAGTTTTCCCTTTCACTCACAAAGGACAAAGACCTGAAATAATCAAATCTCAATACATTTCGAAGTTGAATTTTGTTACAATGCTGACAGCCCAGGGTAACACTGTCCTATTGCCGGGGCATGATCTTAAGCTGTTTGACATAGATATCTCAAGGTTGATAAACAAGTTCTTGGATTGATTCTGATTCATTAATTCGTTAATTTTTTTTGCAGCAACTCTCCCTGAAAGGATTTGCAGGTGACACAGCAAAGGCCCATGCAAAGACGAGCATGATCGCCGGTGAAGGCGTGAGCAACATTAGAACCGTCGCAGCTTTCAACGCTCAAGACAAGATCCTCTCGTTATTCTGCCATGAACTCCGCATCCCACAACTACACAGCTTAAAGAGAAGCCAGATCTCCGGCCTCTTGTTCGGCCTTTCGCAGCTCGCCCTCTACGCATCCGAAGCTCTCATTCTCTGGTACGGATCGCATCTCGTCAGCCGTGGAGTCTCCACCTTCTCCAAGGTGATCAAGGTCTTCGTCGTGCTGGTCGTGACGGCCAACTCAGTCGCCGAAACAGTCAGCCTGGCTCCAGAGATCATCCGAGGCGGGGAAGCAGTCGGTTCGGTGTTCTCAATCCTCGACCGCTCCACCCGCATCGACCCGGACGATTCTGAGGCCGAGGTGGTCGAATCGGTCCGCGGAGAAATCGAGCTGCGACACGTGGACTTCTCGTACCCGACCAGACCGGATGTGGCCGTGTTCACGGACTTTAGCTTGAGAATTCGAGCTGGCCAGAGCCAGGCTTTAGTTGGAGCCAGCGGGTGTGGGAAGAGCTCGGTGATCGCCTTGATCGAGCGGTTCTACGACCCGTCTGCTGGCAAAGTAATGATCGACGGGAAAGATATCCGCCGGTTGAACCTGAAATCGTTGAGGCAGAAAATCGGTCTGGTCCAACAGGAGCCTGCATTATTTGCTACAAGCATCTTCGACAACATTGCCTACGGCAAAGAAGGCGCGACGGAAGCTGAGGTGATCGAAGCAGCTCGTGCTGCGAACGTCCACGGGTTCGTGAGCGGGCTGCCCGACGGGTACAGGACGCCTGTCGGGGAGAGAGGGGTGCAGCTTTCCGGTGGACAGAAGCAGAGGATCGCCATTGCCAGAGCCGTGCTGAAGAACCCGGCAATCTTGTTGCTCGACGAGGCGACGAGCGCTCTCGATGCAGAGTCGGAATGCGTGCTGCAGGAAGCCCTGGAGAGGCTGATGAGGGGGAGGACAACGGTGCTGGTGGCGCATCGGCTGTCGACAATTCGAGGGGTGGATTGTATCGGGGTGGTGCAGGATGGGAGGATTGTGGAGCAAGGGAGCCATGGTGAGTTGGTTAGTAGGCCTGAAGGGGCTTATTCGAGACTGTTGCAGTTACAGCACCATCACATTTGAGACTGGATGTGGAGGCAGGGGATCAAGAAACCTCATTGTTGTTGTTTATTATGTGTTAGGGTTTGTGTTTCCCGTTTAACCTGAAAGAAGAAAAGTTTCCATTTTCCCCTTTGGGATGATGATGGATGGATGGTGATGAGAATGTAGATATTGGGGAAGGTGGATACTTTTCTGAGAGAAAGATCACTAATGTAATGGTAACCCTGTTTTCTACCAATGGGGTAGTCAAGTGTTTGTAATATCAATATGTAATATCATAATTTTCTACTGCCTAATGTATTGTGTAAGAAAGGAACATTAGAATAATGCGTCAATCTCAGTAATCCTTATTCTGTAAGGAAAACTTCCTAATCTTATGATATCATAATTGACGATGCATGATGAGAAAAGTCCCACTAACTATAGATGATATAGTCTGACAAATCTCGTGTAACTACCAAAACTAATACTTCCTATAAAAAACACTCAAATACACTCAAATAGTATTCAAAATTCATAAAACACAATAAAAACGACAAACGAGTCCAAATAGCACGGTTGGTTCGAAACTGGGGTTTTAACCGTTTTCTACTATTCAAGCGGATTGTCTAACTTTGTTACTAGTTTTTCAAAACACAAAATAAAAGTGACAGTCATAAATGTTGTGTTTGATATTGAGACTTAGGTTCTTCATTGAGCAAATTTGATCAAAGTATCATTTGTCCCTCATTTCGTGAACTGATAAACATATTGGGTAGATCGACTCAATTGTCTTCCAAACCCTTCCATTCCATGTAAATTAAATCTTCATTTTGGAAAGGTGAAACGAAATCAGGCCCCCTCGAAAGTTTGTTGAATCAGTGCATAAGGAGACTTCCATTCCTCTTTTGCCTTCCTTTCTAGAATTGCTTTTGAAGCTCCATGGCATGTTTTTTCAATAACATAAAGATAGCAAGAAAGAAAGGTTTGCTTGCTTGCTTGTGGGCCATTGGAAGGGCCCTTCGCAGTTCACATGAATGATAATACAGTGGAAAAGAAGAGCAAGCTTCCAGGAAAACAGTGTTGTGGTGGTATGCATTATTATTGCATCGAAGCCACAGAAAGCAGAGCATGGAATGTGAAGATGATCACTTCTTTTTTTCATAAAGATCCATGCTTGTCTTTCCACATAAGTGAGTGCATAGTGCCCTTCATTATTATCATGACACCTTTCTTTAATTTCCTTTTCTTCTTCCCCACCTTATAAAATATTGGTAATAAGTTGCCGTTTCTCTTTTTTCTGCTGGTTGCTGGGATTTGGCTGGGAAAAAGAAGCACAGAGAGAAAGGGAATGTGATTCCTTTACTGAGAAAGATAACTGATGTCCTACCACACAGGAAACAAAAGATGAATGGCTGTTTGATATTGAAAGCAATAGAAAAAAAGAAGATATGGAGGAAGACACAGCACAACACAGTGCAGAAATGATGGGTTTCTGTCAGTTGAATCCAGACCAGCCAAGCTTTTCCTGCTCCGCCAACTGCTGTGTATTTTCCAATGCGAAATGGACGATATATAATACGAGCACTGGAATGTTCGACATTTTATTAGAGCAAGTAATCCATTTCCTCAACCTCACATTTTGGTAGAGTACAAATTAGTAGATAGAGAATGCAACATTTCGTCATTTAGTAAGCTGCATTCTAGCGTTGAATCAAATCTTGTCATCCAAACAACCCCTTAAACCGAATTGTTTACTTGTTTTTTTTTTCTGCTCACAATCATTTCAGAATCAACTCATGAGGGGTGGCCGTTGAAGTTTTTTCTTTCTGAATGGAGACCCCATTGACAGATGGATGTAATCACCAAAGCTAGCCCATGTTTCCTTTCCCACTCTTTTAATTTGGGTTAAAGACACATTTGGTCACTGAGATTACAAAATCGGGACATGTTTAGTCACTAGAAAAAATTAATATCAAATTTGGTCACTACAATTACTAAAACTGGACACATTTAGTCACTCGCCGTTAGTCTCCGTCAAACTCCGTTAATGAAGTTCGTTAAGTGATGATGTGGCAAACAGAATTGCCTAATCAGCCGGATATAACCCAACAAAAATAAAACCCGACCCGCCACGTCATTATAACCCACCACCGCCGTCGCCGCTCTCCTCCTTCCTCCCACCTCCTCCCGCAAACCTGTTCAAGCACCAAACAGAACTGGACCTTTGTGGGTGATTCGTGTGTTTCCAGCTCTCTGTGTGTATGTATGTATACCTTCACCTCCTCGAATAGCTTCTTCTCCCAAGCATACAGCCTCTCCACGGTAGAGCAATGGCTGAATCCTTTTTTCTCGTCTCCAAATTGCAGCCATAGTTATAGAGTATAGACTTTACCTGCGAAATGTATTAATTAACAAGGGGGAAAGATTGGATTTTTACATCAACCGATGTGAGGGGATTATTTGATGTTGGGCTTCATTCAATTTGACAATATTCAATTACCCCCTTTGCTGCTTAGAGCGGAGAAGCCATAAGTAGGGAGCTCGAGGAGCAGAGAGAGCTGGGTTCCTCCATCAGCTGCTTTGAGGAAATACTCATCCACTTCCTTCACAATCTCCACTAGATCTTTACTGTTCCTCGAGACCACCATGGCCAGCTCAGAGACAGTCATGGTGGTGACCTCCTCCCATTCCTCCTCCATAGTCGTCCCCGACCGAGTGGCCGACGGCGGGGGAGGGACGAAAGTGTCCCAGAAATCCCAGCTAGAAGACTGAGGAACCGGCGGCGGAGCAGATAAAGCGGAGATCGAGGTCCAGGTGGTGTCAGAGCTGGGGCTCATTGGAGGAGGAGGCGGCGGCGGCGGGAGAGGGGGCGAGGGGGGTTGGATCGCCGGTTGGTGGCGGTGGTGGTGGTTGTAATTGGGGCGGAGGTGGGGGTGGTGGAGATTGGTTTCGATGTTGGAGAAGGTGAGAAGTGGGAAAGGGGTTTTTTTGGTTTTCTGGGTGGGTTGGAAGGTGGTGGGAGGAAGGAGGAGAGCGGCGGCGACGGTGGTTTTGGGGAAAGAAGGAGGTGAGAGGAAGGAGGAAGAAGGGTTGGGTAATGGGTTGGGTTGGTTCTAATGACATGGCGGGTTATAATGACGTGGCGGGTCGGGTTTTTATTTTTGTTGGGTTATATCCGGCTGATTAGGCAATTCTGTTTGCCACATCATTACTTAACGGACTTCATTAACGGAGTTGGACGGAGACTAACGGTGAGTGACTAAATGTGTCCAGTTTTAGTAATTGTAGTGACCAACTTTGATATTAATTTTTTCTAGTGACTAAACATGTCCCGATTTTGTAATCTCAGTGACCAAATGTGTCTTTAACCCCTTTTAATTTTATTATATTTGGGCTGACATTTGCCTTTCAAATCGTTCATTTACAAAAGAGGTAAGAAAACGGATTAAACTTTGAGCTAAAAATCAAACAAAACCAACGAGATAAGTTTATAGACAATTATGTGATTTTAATTATGATGATGTTTTGTTCTTAAACGAAGATATTATCATATTTCGTTGCAGGTGTTGTTGACAATAAGTAACAACTTCTTTTCTAATTGTATAATTGATGATGCCACATCATTTAGGAAATTACATCTACAATTCGGTTACGTTTAAAGGAATCATGATCTGAAAATTTATATTTTTGATCGATTCGATGTTAGCATTAAAGGTTGTGGTCTCGTTGTAACTTTTATCCATAATTCCATGAAAAGATTTGTGATAGAGGATATGAACGCTAGCAACGATTTGAATAACTATATAGAATTGGAAGTTAAAAAGCAAACCGAGTTTCAAATTTGTATGACTTTAAATTTGTTTAGCATAACAACCTAAGTTACTCATGTATTATGCATTAGCATATTTTACCAACCAACCATCACCTACAATAAATTTGAATCAACTTACTAGTTTCACAATGATTGGAATTTGGAACCATGGAAGAAAAACATTGGAGGTGGTGAGGGTTCTGGTTTGGAGTTTAGTACAATTTGATTGGAGCAGTAAATGGGAAAGAATAACCCAATAGGGAATAGATATTTTTCAGATGGGCCCTGTCCTGTCCTTCTGTAATGGGCTTTTGCAGTGTACTGTTTCTCTCCATCTGTTTTTGCAGTACATAATGTACATATACATCTCATCTCTGAATACAGTCTACAATTGTTGACTGACAGCTCTCCCCCCATTGGCCCATTTGTACCATCTTCACATTTCCCTTTCTTTCATGGCAGCTGCATTGAAAAATAACCATCAAATTTCCTTCTTCTTTTTTACTCTCAGCAATGAAATTAACCTAATTCTTCCATTTACTTCACAGTAATTTTGATGTCAAACTAACTTTGAAATCATGATCTCTTATTTAAAGCTCTAGACTACAATCACTCCACCAAATTTGTGTCCACGAGGAAATGATACTTATATTTGGAGTAATTAAAGAGTCTTTTTTTTGTCATTCAACCGATCTCAAAAGAGATGGAGATAAGATCCAAACAAAGTCAATTACAAACTACGCAACCAGGACACATAGTCGAACCTCGACAAGAGCCGAGGCGACAAACTCAGGGATTTCTTGGCCACTAAATGAGCCTCCCTGTTCCTCTGACGACCTACGAAACGCAGATCACAAGTACCCTCCAAACCCGCCAATAAAGCTTTGATCTCGCGCAAAATCGCGCCCACCATAGAATCATTGAAATCCCCAGAAGCACACTTATCCAATATGACCTTAGCATCTCCTGTAACCAAAAGGGAGGAAAGATGTCTTTTGGAGCATTCAAGTAGACAATCCCGGAGAGCAAGGGACTCCAAAACATGAGCATTTGAAATCCCTTCGTAGATGGTCGCTGATGCTGCAAAAGGAAAAAACAGCCCTGCAGGAGACGCTTCTTCCCCAATTACAAAGGCTGCTGATCCTAATCCACCCTTCCCCGTTGCGCCATTGAACGATGCATGAAATTGAAAATGCCCTTGAATAGTCCGGGACTGAACAAGAGTTGATGCTGCATTCGGCAATTGCTGTGGAAGAGATGGAGAAGAGAAGGCAGACTCAATTTCATTAACTTGATGACGCCATTCCGCTGCCCTGGACTCCAAACGAACCTGTTGCTGATCAAACAAAGTACAACCCCTGTTCTTCCATATACGCCAAAACATAGCTACAACTTGCAGAGTTAGATAAGAATGAGAAGCACCCCCACTCTAGTAAGCAATCATTTGCTGGTATGGTCCGAGGTGAGTAATTAAAGAGTCTAGTAAGCAAATTAACTTAATTGAGCCCAATAATACAAGTGGGCTATCGGATATATGAATTGGACTGGGCTCAAATCTGGGAATGGTCATAGAGACTGAATAAATTTTCTGACCCCGTCCAAGAAACCAGCCAAGATTAATGGTATTTCTTGGGCTTCATTTCGTGCCCAGGAGAAGTTTAAGCCCGGCCAGACATTGGAGTCGGCGACTAGTAGACTAGGCCCAAAAGGAAAGTTAGCTCAATTAGAACTGGAAGAAGCCCGCATGATCTTGGACGGAGCCTGGTTGTGTTGAGGAAATTGAAAGGGCTATTGCGCTGGGGTGTTGGGTGGAACAAAGTAGGAGAAAGGCCGTTTGGGCCGAAGTAGCACGAGTCCAAATATGGATTTAAATTATATTAGTTGGTAAATATTAATTATTGCCTTTTCGTTGTATGTTCAGAATATTTTTCACATTGTATGTTCAGAATATTTTTCACATTTGAATGTCGTTAAAGAATCTTTTTAGACTTCATTCATTGTCTAAAAGACTTTACATGCACGAAAGGTATATTAGATTGGCCGACTTCATTTTTGTTCATATCTTAGTATCAACAAAAGTTGAAACCAAATTCGATGAAGTGGGCAAACTTTTTCGCTACTCTACTATCCAAGTCCACTAACAACTAAGTCGTAACACAGATAAGCTCATCAACATCTCCAAATATTTACCCATGTACAAATAAAACCACAAACCCTAACAAATTGCAGTTTGTTCAGACTTTCGATACTAATATATATATACATATGAAGATTTGAGTATCTCATCATTACATCGAAATGAACCAACCAAAGCATGATGCTGCATTTTCTATATGGTACATATTCATACAAAAGGGATAAACATTTATTACTATGAACTCTTTTGGGTACTAAGAGTTAAAAAAAAAGGAAAGGAACAATACTTTTTACGCTTTCATGCTCATGCATGAAACAAACATTCAAAAACAAGCTATCTAGCAAGTTATATCATATAAATCACAGTCAAATTCTACTCTATCTCATCGAGACATGCATGTGGCCATTATTATAAGTGACCGAAAATAGAAGAACAAATAACCGACAAAGGGATGTGCGGTGGCATGCAAAGCTCTCTAGCTAATTTGTGCTATATATGAAATTCAGTGAAAGCCTATCCATCCTAGCCTATACATATAATATCTATAAGCAACGTAAAAAATATTGAGAAATGGGAAAACCTTTATATATATTTACGTACTAATTAAGATTTTGAGAAATAAAAAAGTAGCTAGAGAGGTTGTATTTGTATTAAATGGCGGGTGTCCTTATGATCACATGGTCATGTTGTGGTGTTGAGACATACACATAAAAGGCCCACTCTTGTTAGCTGAATAACCAACATGGTTCTTTAAACCCACTTGATCATCTACCCCAGCTTGGGGACAATCTCACAACCCTACTCCTTTCTCCCTTTGATTTTTCCCCCTCCCACCTTCTATAAGGATCTTTGCTTGCCCCGATCCTCAACATAAGGTCTAGAGAGTAACTTTGTGTAATGTATGGATTACATAAAAATGGAATTCCTTGGAGCTTTTTCCCATTTCCTAAATATGTGCTGGATATTGTGCATACATATCTTATTCATTAGGCCTACATATCCTATTACGTACCTTCTCCAATGAAAATTCAGGTTGGTTTGAAGTCGATATAAACGATGTATCATAGAAGATGTATCAATAACATATGTTGTATTAATGGTAAGACAATAAAGCCAGCGTTTATATTAAGTACATAGAGACTAAATATAAGAGATGGCAGCAACTTTTCATGACGGAACCGATTCGGGTCTTAAAAGAAGGAGTGACATTTCTTTATCCTGTCACTTTTTAGTATTTTTCTCAACACATTTATGTACAATTGTGACCTCAAAGCAAAATACCAACGAGGGGAAATTAGCATGCACATAGTTTGGTCGTTGTATTAGGACATATGTTACCTAGATTAGATTGCGAGATATTCGTATGTAACCAAAAAAAAAAACTCAATAACTCACCTTAAAAAATAGATATGATGGTATTGACTCATAAATTTTCAACTTGCAATCGATTAAAGAATGATCATATATAGAAAACAAAGGGAGAAAAGGAAGCGAGCATGGGAAGTTATAGTTTTGATAACACTTAGACCAACTCCATTGTAAGCCTCCAAATTTGGGATGATCTTCATCCCCAAATTTGGGGTTCATCCCTATTTTCTCTTCTTTTGCTCCAATACTACATCCTCTATATTTGGAGATATCCATTTTTTACATTTTCCATTTACTTAAAAATGTACTTATCAAAGACTTAATATAATTTGTCCATGTTAATTTTTGTATAGTTCGTCATCATTTTTAAAAACAAATTTTCCGGTAGAAATTTTTTAAATTTTGAGACCAAATTTTTGTTGACAAAAAATGATTGACCTAATTTGGGTTTACACACAACACTTGAAAATTATTGATCTAATTAAACCCCTAACTAATCCACTAATTAAACCCCAATTAACCCTTAAAATCTTAAAAAGAAAAAGAAACGCCACGTGGCGGGCTTTGGGGAGTCTCTATATTTGGGGGAACCCCCATTTCCACCCCCAAATTTGGGGATCCTTTTGGAGATCTCCTCCATTTATAGAAGCTCCATTGGAGCCAACTTTCCCCCAAATATAGAGGCTCCCCCATTTATAGAGGCTCCATTGAAGTTAGCTTACAATGAGATCACCATTATAAAAAAAAGGAAAGATATAACACTTTCATTCATTCAACCCAGCTGAGAAAAACTATAGCAAGTCAATGGTTAGTTGGTTACTATAACAAACGGGAAGTTATAGTTAACGCCCACAATATATTCAAAAAAAAAAAATCCTATGAAATCTATCTCGACCATATACACATAACATAATATTTGAGCACATAGGAAGCAAGTCCACTTGTTTCTCCGATGCACTTGTCTTCTTCACCTCCAACATCACTGTCTATGTTATTGTACCCTCCATCTCTCTCTCTCTCTCCTTACATCTATTCTTTCCCTCTTTCTCTTTCAATATTGTGTGTTTTGTGGTCCTTTCCCCATTCTCTTTATAACACAACACTCTCTTATCACTTTCTTCCCCATTACTTCCATTCCATTCCATCATCTCTTCTCTCCCTCTCTTCCTCTCAAAACAAACTCTAACATATAATCCCTCATTGAAAGCTTCCCCTCTTCCCCATTCCCATATCTCTTTTTGCTCTCTACTTCTCCTTTTCAACTTACTTGTTAGCCAGCCACATCTTCCCGATATTGCAAGCTTGGAAAGGTTGTTGTTGTGTAGCGAAATAAACACAAATCATCTTTGTGGAACAACGAGGACAATGTCGAGCCGGAGAACGTCGAGGCAGCAGTCTTCAGGTGTGCCGAGGATCAGCGACGATCAGATCATCCAACTTGTCTCCAAGTTACGTCAACTCTTGCCGGAGCTTCGCCACAGCCGCCGCTCCGACAAGGTATATTTATACATGCTTATTTATTTATGTATGCCTACACGACTTTGACTTTTCCTTAGCTAGCATGGCGCATGGCAATAAGGGAGGCACATGAATAGAATATTAAGTAATTAATTAGTACAATGTAAGTTATCATGGTAAACGAGAAAGTGATTAATAATGTCTCACTACGCCTGCTGAGGAGGAAGTAGTCGTAATAATATTTTTGTTGTTCGACTTCAACCTGAAGCTAGTTAGGACGATAATAATGACAAAAGTAGATCGAGGGTTTTGAAATTGGTGAGGCGGAAGGGGAAGCAAGCTCCCCCGGCGGCCGGCGGACATCAAGGACGAGATTTAGAAATGAGTGCATTTAATTTAATTTAATTTATCTTGTTTGGTAAAACCCAATAAATGAATTAAGGTCAAACTTTCTACAACCATTTTGACTCGTAAGCAAAACCCGGAAAGGAAGGCGCAAGGAAACCAACAAAAAGGAGAAGGATGCTAAGCTAGACGACATAATAACGGAAAACTGAAAGTAAAGAAAAGGAAAGGAAGAAAAGAAAAGAAAAGAAAAGAAAAGAGAAAAATAGTCATGATTAATGACCGAGTCTTTGCTTTTCACTGCCTGCTCCCTTGATTTGTTCACTACTCCACAGTAGAACATCATATTATTCACCGAAAGAAACTAAGGTAATAAATCGATCGGAAAACTGTGTTTTACGTGACAGGTGTCGGCGTCGAAGGTGCTGCAGGAGACATGCAACTACATACGGAGCCTGCACAGGGAAGTGGAGGACTTGAGCGACCGGCTGTCGGAGCTGCTCTCCACCATCGACGCCGACAGCCCCGAAGCCGCCATTATCAGGAGCTTGCTCATGTGATTTGATTTCATCGCGCCATCTCCACTTCAGCTAGCCACTCCGATCCATATAATAATATTTCTTCTATATTTATCGAAATATCAATTGACACAAACAATTTATATGTGTATGTTACTATGTTTAATTAAGTTTATGTATGTATGTATGTGTGTGAGATCGATGTATGTGTGTATGGCCGTGCAGTGCTAGCCATCTCTAGTTTACTCAAGCCGGCGGGCTGTATATCTTAATTACCGACCCCACCATCTATCCCTACCTAATTAATTTACTTGCCTTAATTAGTTACTGATTATATATATGTATGTATTTTGGGTTTAATTAAGACTGATCTTCTGGTGAGACCTAGCTGCCTAATCAATGATATACCTATCTATCTATTTATCTATCTATCTATCTACCTATTGGCTAGCTGCTGGTAGGCCCTGCTTCGATGACGTACGTACATCAAGTTAAATAAGAATATTTATTTATAGGGTTAATATTTTTGTATGGCCTGAACTTTAACCAAAATAAACATCCTGACCAATCTTTTCGATCTATAACATCATGGCCCGAACTATACACCAAAATAAACAATTTGGCCAAACCCGATGTTTGACCGTTAACTTGGACGGTCAAACGCGTTGACTAACGGTCAACGCGCCACGTCACTGCCAAGTCAGAATATCTGATAAATATTTAATTTTTTCATTTTTTATTTTTGGTTTAACTAAAGTATTAGATGATTTATTTTAATTTATAATAATTTAAAATTAGGAAATGTGTGGAAATTGTGAATTATTTTAAATATTTTATGTTGACTTGGCAGTGACATGGCGCGTTGACTAACGGTCAACGCGTTTGACCGTCCAAGTTAACGGTCAAAAGTCGAATCTGGCCAAATTGTTTATTTTGGTGTATAGTTCGGGCCAGGATGTTATAGATTGAAAAGATTGGCCAGGATGTTTATTTTGGTCAAAGTTCAGGTCATACGAAAATATTAACCCTTATTTATACATAATATGTTAGCAGAGCGACTTCAATGTAATATTGTAACGTCCATGAGCTGCCACATGCAATGCAATATATTGTAACTAATTATTAATATTGTAACATATATAGGCAGAGGAAGAAGATAGATAAGGTACGTACGTGATTAACCTGCAGGCAGGCAGGCAGGCAGAAGATAATTAATTAAATGAAAGAGGAAAGTGTACGTTACCAACAAGCGAGCTTACAAAATGGACACTAACCAATTAAGTGCCACCTAGCTAGCTTGATAATTAATTAAATGTCAATTCACCAAATGCTTAATTATCCTTCACTCTATCACAAACCAAAACTAGATGGAATGAAAATTAAACTTGTTATTGCATGTCCATGGCAACTATATCTCATCATGACACAACTGAGATCAACCCATGTGTACGTAGAAGAAATGCTCTTTAGAATAAATGAATTACTAACACAAAGCACATTAAACGTTGCTATATATTTTCACTTGAAATTAAATATTTTTCAATAATACTCTCTCACAAGCAAACACGCTGATCAAGACCTTAATGCAAGCTCATGAGAACTGCCACTTTCCGACTTCGCTGCAATATTGCATCTAAGTGCATAATTTACTGTTTATTTATCTTTCTTTTTTCGACGATTATGGCTAGATATTTATTCAAGAATAGTTCGTCCATGATTCTAATCAGACGCTATATAACTAAAACTCTCTTAGAGTTAGAGACATGAGCCTTCCTTCATTCTACCAAAATTTATTTTTTGGTAATGTGTATTTATTAACCAAACATTTTCCAGATTCTTTTATTTTTATCCAAACCTATTGGAATACTATTTATTAACCAAACGTTAAATCTCCGTTAATTTTTTTGTTTGATGATGGTGAACTGTCAGACGTGGCAGTAAAAAATGCCACATCAGCCGGTCAATCATTGACTATCTTTTATGCACTTTTTTTGTTAGTCAAACCTATTGAGTTACTAATTATTAGCCAAATGTTAACTTTCAGTTAGCAATTTGTTTGTAATATGGACTTGGCAACATGATATTGACTTGGAAGACACACATGGATGTCAACATTCCAAAATTTTAGTATTTTAACTAAGAATAGAGTTACAAAATTATTAACGATAACTAAAAATGGCTAATATTTTGATGCATTACAAAAGATTTGGTCAATTATTAGTAATTCAATAGGTTTGGCTAATAAAAAAAATGATAGTAAGGTGTGACTAATAATTAGTATTTACCCAATTTTATTTTATTTATTGATGAGGTGGCGGCTGAGTTGGACGCTAAGGTGGAGCACCGTTAAAAAATAGTTAATGATAACGAATTAATGGCTATTACTTGAACGTGTTACAAAACGTTTGGCTAATTCTTAATATTTTGATAGATTTTACTAAAAAAAGGTTTAACTAATAAATAGTCATTATACTTATTTTTTTATAAAGGTGATATAGTTTCCTTCTAGCAAACTTTTTCCCCATGAAATCCTGAGTGTGAATTTAAGAAGTAGTTGAAAAGAAATTATATGAACAATAATATTAATGAGGAGGGTGCTTTTTGTCGGGAAGTAGGAATCAAGTGGCATAATGGCCTCATGGCCAAAGCCTAAACCGTCTCATTTAGATCCATGCATGTTTTTCGATAAGATAGATCATAGATAGGATAGGCAGGCAGGCAAATAGACACGATCGATCGATGTTTAGCTAAATGTCATGCTCATACAGATTTATGATTGTTAGTTAGGCCACTCGGTCCTAATTAATTAATTAATTTGGTCAATTGTTTTTGTGCATGTCATTACGTACTTGAAACCTGCTGCTGCTGTTGGATCAGTCTACCTAATTATTTTGTATTATTCGTGAAGCCAAGCCACAGATTCAGATTTCAGACTACGCTATCATATTCATCGTCATGATTGATCTTATTAGATGACGATGCATGGTCTTATTAGGCTAACTAGGTTTTATTAATTCCACGTAATTCCAATTCAGAATCTCGTAGAATCAAATTGAATAAGAATTATATATGGTTCAGGAAACCTTTTTGATAAACAAATTTAGACGAAAATTTTAAAAACCTAGCAGGCTCACGTTGGCAGCAGTCCAATCGATCTAGTGGTCTCTAGAGCAAGCAAAGCAAAGCAGTCAATGTCGAACACAGAAACATGGCATTATTTAATGCCATGTCTGGCAGGGCAGAGCAGCCACAACCGCAGATGGAAAGAAATATGGGTATCTCACATAAATAATGTTACCTAGAAAGAATTATCAGTATTAATTATCCCCCACTTTCTTAATTGGCTGATGTAAGGACAAGGGAAACTGAGAAAGAAGAGGGTGTTCTTTAATATCTTCTCTTTAATAGCTTGAGAGAAGGCTAGAGAGCTTAAGATCATGATTTTAATTTCTTTTATGCGCCAGTGTAAGGGTTTGAACTCTACCTAAAAGAGCTCACCTTGAGGTTAGATCCTCAATAAGAAAATCCTAGAAATCTACGTCTCAAGGGGCAGACACCCTTAAGCCGATAGATAAACTCTAAGCTAAATTTGATTAAGAAAAAAATAATCTCTTGAGTCATTTACTTCCTATTTTAGTTGATTTCAACTTCAATTCTCGTGTGCTTCTTGTTGTGAAAAACAGAGGAGTCTAGAAAAACTCTTCCTCTGTTTTTGGCTAAGGAATCGGCGGATTTTTTAGGCAGGAAAAAAATTGGATTATAATCTTCGGTTATAAGGCATTACTCAAAATAGCAACTGAAGATTCAAAACCCGGCCATTTTCGTTCGACTCAAACAACTCCTACGTTCAAATCTAGTTAAACGAAATTTTCCTCTTTGTGTTATCTTACGATTTTCGATTCAAAACACTAAAAATTTCATAAGTTGATTCTCTAGTTTCAGAGTTTTTTTTAGAACCAACATTTTTTTAGAGTCATTGTTGGAAGAAGCACGAGAGAAAGAAAGAGAAGGAGAAATAGGTTGGTTCTCAAACAGAGAGACGATAGATTGCTTTGCAATTTATTAATTCGTTACAAGAAAACTTTGATCTTTGACTAATCTCGTTTTGAGTATGAACAGAAAAACGTGAATGCTATGTACAACTAATTAATGTAGATCTAATGACACAATAAACATTGAATTGCATGAGTAAGCCAGAGCTATTCAAATCCTAATAATCACCAGCACTTGTGGTGCTCACAAGAACAATAATTTCCGCATACTCTTTCAACTGTGTGACTAATATTGACCATAAGACTTTCATCTCTCCCTTTTCACCATGGTTGAATAACTATTCCACTATCTACCCTTCATTGTCATAAAGAACACTACAAAATTGTTCATAAATAAACTGTGGAAACTTATGTAAAAAAATGTCATTGGTACATCAGAGCATTTGTCTAGCCCACCAATGGGAGAATTGTTAGAGATAGCATCCAAAGCTGTAGTGTAGCACACATCTTCCACACACATTAATTAATAAATTTTTTAATAAAAAGAAATCAAATCCAAATTTTGACGTCCACAGGAAATAAATAATTATGTAAGGAATTGAAACCTGTGAAAGGACCAACTAGAGAGCAGGGAGAAAGGGACTAAACTTTCCCTAACAAAGTCCCGTGACCAATTAACACAACATCCAGAAATGTGTGAGACAAGTTTGGTGAAGGTGAAAGTGACATTGTATCTAAGACCCAAATTATTACATGCGTTGCTGGTAAAAAAATTGAATTCCAATGGGGTAAAAGAAGAGTGGGGAAAGCCCAAAATTTTGGGTTGGTGGTTAGTGGTTACCATACCACAACAGAGCAATATTATCTTTAGTTTTCTTCATATATGATATATATCATAGATAGGTAACAGAAGATAAGAGAATGATTGGTTAGTGGTTGTGGTGTGTGTTCTTTGTTTGGTTTGATTGGGATGATAGGACTTTCATACATCTCCAGAAGAATTATGTTGTTTTGGTTTGTTTCACTGGTTGGATTAATCATTACCCGGTGGCAGTTAGGTTGGTTTTTTGTTTGTAGATATATGATTCGAGAAGTTTCGTGAGCAGATATAAAGATTCGTTCGAAGCACAAATTTGAGGTTTATCGAATATCGGTTGGTCTACATATAGTTTTATTATTAATTGTGTTTTGTTTGGTAGATTTACATATCGAGAGTTCGATGAGCGGACATAGAGATTTATTCAGGCATAAGCCTAAGGTTTATTGGAGAATTTGGGGTACGGATCGAGCCGTGTTTTGGTTTCATATCCTTTCCCATATAGGGAATGATGCTCATAGCCTCATATAGGGGCAAAGTTGTGTCTTTTTTCTTCTGTTTTGAGATTTAATATGGTGCACTTCTCTTATGTATCGTCATCCCCTTGTTAATATACACATAATTAACAAAGGAAAATCATTAGCTGACACGCTATGTTCTA